TGTGTGTTTCATTATTTTTTGATTCTGCAATTCCTCATCCTGCCCTGTCTCATTAATGGCTGCAGCTGTGGTTTGTGTTGGGTTTTTATTTATCATTTAGATGTATTTTGGGTTCAGACCGAATTTCTTCCCTTTAAAAACTGTTCTTGGGAGAGTTTTTTTTTTCTCCAGCCGATGATCACTGGACATCGGGGGGCCAAGTTGGAGGAATTAAAGGGACTTTCCCAACTTTTGGGACTTGGTTGCTTTTGTGCCACGCCCCTTTGGGTCATCATACAGGGGATGGATTTGTAGTTTTTACTTCCGGCAAGGAAACCCGGAACTTTCCGATTCGGGATTCCCCAGTTGTGGCCGTTTGCTATCCAAAATAAAAGGAACCTTGAATTAGAAAAAGAACGTCATACATTCCAAGACATTCCCCCCTCTCATTTTCCCAGGCTCAAAATGTGGCACCGTGGGAGCATCTGGTCTCAGTATGGCTTCCAAAGTTGACACCAAAGCTGCTCAAGTAGGAAGACCAGGGGGGAAAAAAATCCCCCTGTCAATGACATGTGACTTGTTTTGATAAGTCCCTTCTCTCCGTCCCCGTTGTCGCTTCAAACGTTCACTAAATCAACGGTTGTAAGTTGAGGAATAACCTGTAATATAAAGAAACGGTGCTTTCTGTCTCTTTACCTACTTAATGTCTTCTGCTCTTCCTCGCCCAGCGACCGCCTACATGTTCCAGCGGCAGCTCTCACCCACCCCGGGCTACCCCAGCCAATACCAGCTTTATGCTATGGAGAACACGCGGCAAACCATCCTGAACGACTACATCACGTCCCAGCAGATGCAGGTCAACCTGCGGCCGGACCTTGCACGAGGACTGTCGCCCCGAGAGCAGACTTTGGCGCTCCCCTATGCAGGGGCGAGAGGTAGGTTTCCATCGCTCAGGATAGGCGTTCTACAAACCAGGTTAATTTAGAACAGGGGTGTCAAAACTCAAGGCCCGTGACCCAGATCGGGCCTGTGGGGCCATCCTGGAAACAGCAAAGGTGTCGAACTAAAAAAAATACTCCTTTGGTCTTTTGAGTTGCCATCAGAAAGGGAATGGGGGAAAGCAGTGCATTCCTTAAATGCTTCAGATAATTGCTAGGCAGCCGAAGCTGTTGGCGCGCAAGATTATGACTGGAGAGCATGATTGATGGCTCTCGGCTTTGGATGTGTCCATATATATGAGAAAGAGAATATACATCCAGGGGTTGGGGGAAATAAATGATGTATCTTAGTGTTGGCTGCACCCATGTGTTGTGGCTCGGGGCTTGGATTCAGCTCCTGTGACTGATATGAGTTCAAGTGAGGAGGTCATGGCAGAAAAATATGAGCCGGCATGGCTCAGTGATTGGACTGGTAACCAGGATGAGGAGATGGACGTGACAAAGGACGACAGACCTGATGTATTAGAATTGTCAGGACCTTTGACCTCCTCTGGGTCCTTATCTGATCAACAGCCGGGAATGGCTGACAGGGAAGGTTTGAGAGAGTCTTCTAGTGGAGATGAGAACTTGGAAAATTTGTGGTTAAATGTAAGGAACAGAAGACGGTTGAGAAGGCAAAATCAGCTGGAGCGAATGAGGAGAGCGAGTCAGTAAATTAGCACGTTGCCTCAATGAGTATAAAAGGACACAGCTGGGCTGGTACGTTTTGCCAGGAACAAAGTGACTTATTTGAGTGAGGACGTTACAGCAAGAAGCTCTGAGACTGGAGATTTATTGCCAGGACTGGTTTGCCGGACGGAGTAAAGATTTATGCTGTGGTTTCTGCCAGCCGTTATCTTGTAAGACTTCTTTCCGTTCGATTTAATTGTGAAACGGCTGCTTTCTGTTTTGTTCGTTGGAATTTCGAAGGGGAGTCATAACACCCATGTAACACTGATATGGCCACTCCTGATAAATTATCTTTTTTTTTACTCTGAGAGATGCGGCTAGAGACTTGTGATTTGAATGTGGGTGGATTTGTCGGAGCCCTGACAGAAGGATCGGCCCGTGGCACCTCTGCCAGTGAAAACGGAGCTGGGGAGGGGTGGGCCGCGCACAGCCTCCAGTGCCTCATTTTCCCTCGCAGAGGGTGACCAAAACAACCTAAAAACAAAACCGAAGGAGAAACATTTCCCCTTTTGCATTTGAGCATGCAAAAGGGGACAGCAAAGGAGAAAGGGAAAGAGGAAAGACAAAGAAAAAAAGAAGGGAAGACGGGAAGAGAGCAAGGAAGGGAAAAGAGGGGAAGGAAGAAGAAAGAATGAATGAAGGGGGAAGGGGGGGAAAGAAGGAAGGAAGTGAAATGAGGAGGAAGTACCAGTAGTCTTAGGATTGTGGGTACATAAAGCTTAGTCCCTTTCCAAGCTAGTCCATCATTCATTGTCAACTCGTTTTGATGGTCCAGGAACCAAGGATCAGTCAATAGGGCCGTTTTCAATTCGGCAGTCAGCTTATCTTCCAGGTGTTTGGCGTTGCGGTTAGCTTGGGTTCTAGTGGTTACTTGGCCGGCCAATTGAGCATCTGAAATTAAGGTTTGTACTATTTCCTCTCGGTGGTTGTCAAACTGAGGTTTTCTGAACAGAGCATCCGCCAGTACATTTTTCCCTCCAGGGTTATATTTAATGTTGAAATTGAATCATTTGAAATATTGGGCCCAACGGACTTGTTTGGGCGATAATCTCCTAGGGTTCTTTAGATCAGTGGTCCCCAACCTTTTTTGTGCTGCAGCCCGGTACCGGCATCACAAAATCACCCGCGGCCCGGTACCGGCATCAGCATGCATGGCAAGGCGAGCCGAGCGACTGGCCAGCCAGCCGTCCCCCGCTTCTCCCCGCCACCTTCAACTCCTCCTTTGTACCTGTGTCGATGGGCTTCTCGACGGCTTCGGGATGGTCGCTCGGCTCGCCTTGCCGTGCGTGCTGAAAGAATCCTCGCGCCTTAGTTTTGTTCGAAGCCGCCCCGCCCCGATGAAACTAAGGCGCGTGGATTCTTTCAGTACCCAAACGCCGCTTTCTACCCGGAAAAGCTCACCGGAAGCACTTTTTCATCAAAAGAAGATGGCGGCGCCCAGCAAACCGGCAGCCCGGTAGAAATTGTTCCATGGACCGGTACCAGTCCAGGGACCAGTGGTTGGGGACCCCTGCTTTAGAGCCTCAAGGTTCTTATGATCAGTCCATACCTCAAAGGCCTCTGGCGCCCCTTCTAGAAAATGCCTCCAAGTCAATAAAGCCCATCGTACGGCGAATGCTTCTTTCTCTCAGACCGCTCTGCATCTGTCAGCTTTTTGGACACATAAGCGCAAGGCATCAGTCGGCCTTTAGAGTCTTCTTGCAGCAAAACCGCTGCTACCGCTATATCGCTTGCATCTGTTTGGACAATAAAAGGCTTGGTTGCATCTGGGTGCTTGAGGATGGGCTCCGTTGCAAAGAGACATTTTAATGTCACAAAAGCTTTCTGACAGTCCATAGTCCAATCCAGGGGTTGACTCGGCTTTGGTTTGCGGGGTGACGGGCCTGTTTTTAATAGCTCTGTCAACGGGAGGGCAACTTCAGCAAAGGACGGAATGAATTGTCTATAGAAGTTGGCAAACCCCAAGAAACTTTGAAGTTCTTTTCGGGTTCTCGGGGGGATTGCCAATCCAGCACCGCTTTCACCTTTCCTGGGTCCATTTCAATCCCCAGGTTGGATATTCGGTAGCCTAGGTAGTCGAGCGACTCTTTGTGGAATTCACATTTTGAGAGTTTCACAGATAATTTGGCGGCTAGAAGTTTTTCTAGAACCTATCGGACCAATTGAACATGTTCTTCCATGGTTTCGCTGAAGATAAGGATGTCACTACCTCGTGTTGTTCACCATTCAAGCGATGCAAGCCTTGTGTTCCCGCAGGCCATGTGGGCAGCACAGCTTTGTGTTCCCACACAGCCTGGATTAATTGCTTTTGGGTGGGGGGGAACATTTCTCTGCGGACCACCAAAATTTTCTCACGGACCACCAGCGATCCCTGGCCCACTGTTTGCCGACCACTGCACTAAACAAAGGCACTAAAGCACAGGAAAGACCAGGGATGGGCAGGCAGGCCCACATACTCGTCACAGAGAACTGGTTCACTGCCAGCTGATTGTCAGGATTCCAACAATCGCCCAAATTCAATCAGGATTCTTGAGCCAAACTTCAAAAAACTTCAAAGGATTCATTAGAGGCGACATATTGGCCCTGCCCTGTCTGAAGCCAACTCTGGCCTACCTCATTCACAGTCCCCTGTGACCCTGTTTCCCCCCCCTCCCCCCCCGGGTGTGTCATAAATCAGATTCTCCAACTGAGCACCTTCCTGGGTGTCATCAATCACGTTCTCAATTAAATGTATTTGCAGGCAAAAGCTCTGGTAGTTTAATTACAGTCTTTTAAAGATAAAGAGTTGGAATGTACTTCCGCTTTCCAACTGTTCTTCCTGGTTTCCTTCCTCTCCTCCCCCCTCATTTTTTTAAAATGGCAACTACTAAAAGAGGCATAGGAATGTTTTATGAATTGACGCCAACATTTCCACCGTTAAGTAAGACAGTGATGATCTGTTTTGTGACCATCACAATACACAGGTAGTCGGTCAAGTTATGACCACAATTGAGCCCAACTTTTCCATTGCTAAGCAAGACAGGGACCGATCCGTTTTACAACCATCGCAACAGACAGATAGTCCTCGACTTACAACCCGAATCGAGCCCCAAATTTCCATTCGCTACGTGAGACAGTGGCCGGTCTGTTTAAGACCATTATCCTGTCAGCGTTCCAGAAAAACTCAACTCCGATTAAAAACTCGTTTGTCGGAACCTCAAATCTGGGTCCTCGGTCCCCTCCTTTTTTTGTGCGTGTCGGTCGTAACTAAGCAAGCCCTTTTTGCTTTTCCTTTGGTCTTAATCTCTTGTTGGCCTTCATTCCTTCCTCTTTCGACAAGGAATCATCGACCTGAACAGCATGGCGCCCACCATTTTGGTGCCGCACCCCGGAGGGCCAAGCACGCCCCCGATGGAGAGGATCACCTACATTCCTGGCACTCAGCTGGCGTTCCCCGCCAGGCCTTACAACCCGCCCTCCATGTCTCCAGGTAAGGGTCAGAAGGTGTGGGGGGCGCACTGAAGGAGGGACGTGCTGCTGGGTACAGGCCCAACGCAGCCGAGGGGATTTGAAGGGGCAGAGCGGGGGCGGGTCCCCCATTTCTGAACAACTTCAGCGATTCACTTTACAACCGTGGCAAGAAAAGTCATAAAACAGAGCTAGCTCAATTAACAAATTTCTCAGTTAACAACGTAAATTTTGGGGCTCACTTGTGGTCATATGTTGAGGACTTTCTGTATTATTTTTCTTTTATGTACAGTGAGAGTTTCTGCACCAAAGACCAATTCCTTGTGTGTCCAATCACACTTTGCCAATAAAGAATTCTATTCTGTTCTATTCTATTCTATTCTATTCTATTCTAGGTAGTCCTCTACTTACGACCAATCACTTAGCAACTGTGAAGTTGCAATAGACCCCCCCAAAAAAGGTTGAAGGATTCCTTGACTTAACAATCATTCATTCTTTTTTTTTAAACAAATTTTATTGATTTTACAAAACAATATACAAACAAATAAAACATAAAATATGATGACATAAAAAATCTTTTTCTAAAAAAAACAATACAACATCTTATTTAAAGACAGAATTATTCCAAGTTATCACATTTCCATACAAACACAATTTAGTATATATATTCACCTTACCTGTTCATCTTCATTATCTTATCCCGAACTTCTCTTTATTACTCCCTTTCCTTCTATTTATTCAAGTTATATCTCTTTAACTTTAGATTGTATACATTTTTTATATCCATCTGTCTTATACAATTTCATTATTCTCTTCCAATAGAAAAACAGACAAGACATAAAACATAAAAACATAAAACATCTTTTCTGAAAGTTGCTTGATCCCGGGTTAAAACTCATCGTACAGACACCACTTCAAAAATCACGTTCCTTTTATATATCATTCCATATCTTATTACCGTTTTCCATTTTCTGTATAGCTTCTTCCTTTTTTTAACTCTCTTAGTTTTATTCTACTTATCTCAGTTCAAGTCATAATACTTGTCATTCTTTGTCTGTTCTCAACTATCCATTCATTTTTTTCTCTTTAAACAAAACTTCTCCTGTACACTGATTGGAGTATGACGCCTTTAACTCTTTCCCCTAACCTAATAATACTTAATATCACACATAACTTGTATTGGGATTCTGTTTAGCACATCCTAAAGTTACACAATATAGAGAGAAAAAGACAAAAAAAAGAAAGAACAACAATAACAAAGGAGCAAATTTATAAATATATAATATAGCTAGTACCCCTGTCAAAACCATTTTAATCATACATATTAATACTCATTTATGTCTTAAACGTTTTATTCTAAAAACACCTATAATAACACAATCTTATGTACCTTACAGAATCCCTTTTTCAATTAGATTTACCCATTGTCTCTAAATGAATTTTGTTTCTTTAGATCTTGCTTCCCATCGTTGAGACTTCTCACCCCTTCCTTTCTCCCTTGCTAATTCTTTTCCTTACCCTTTTTACCCCTTTGTCTCTCCACCTCCCTTTTCTTCTTCTGCTTTCCCCCTTTCTGTTGTTTTCTAACCTTATATCCACCTTTCAACTCATTTTTATCTTCTTTGGTTGTTTTTTTAGGTTTTACAATCCCTTTTTTCTTTTCCTCTTTCTTCTCCTCCCCAAATAGGATCACATCTTCATCAAAGATGATTTCTTCTTTGTCCCAATTATCCGGCTGCGCAATCAATTCTCCATAGGAACGCACCGCCATTTCTAGAGATTGAAAAAGAATATCCAAAGTATCTTTCCAGTCTTGTTCTTCCTTTTTATATTTTGGATATTCAGTTTTGGATTCATCCAAGGATGATGCCATTATAAAGAGGAAAAAAATTTCCCAAAACAACCACCCGAGTGTTTTTAAACAAAGAAAAAAGATTTCCCAAAAGATCCAAAGTCACCAAACGATCCAGATAGACTATTTCATTTAGCACTTTTTCCCTTCTTCCATTTCTTTTTCTGGGCTTGCTATTAAATCACAAAATTCCAATTGAAATATGTCTTTTTGAAGTCTTACTAATGTTCAAATGGCTCTTTAAAATTCTAGGCAGTCTGCTCCTTATTTACAACTTCTACTTCAATTTTTTTCCTCTCCCTTCCCACTCACAGCAAAAGAAAATTTTTTCTTTAAATATTTAGAAATCCATATCCCTTTGGCATTAGCATAGTCTTCAGCATTTAGCATACCTTCAATGCGGGTTTTCCGATTTCTCTCAGAGCTGTTCCGTTTGGAAGGAGAGTGAAAAGAAAAAAAGTTTTCCCTTTAATATCCATTCGCTGCTTACTCAGTCTGGGAAGTGTGTCTTTAATAAGTATTAAATATCAGGATACTTTCACTGTTCCTTTGTCCCGGTCAGCAAAGATCACTTCATCCTTTCAACAGTCATTCATTCTTGATCGTTCAAAGATACACCAACCTGAAAAAAAGTGATTTGTGACCATTTTTCACACTTAACAACCGTTGCAGCATCTCCCTGGGCCAGTGATCAAAATTCAGACAAGCTTGACAACTGGCTCATGTTTACGACGATTGCAGAGTCCTGGGGGGTCCCATGATCCCCTTTTGTGACCTTCTGATGAGCAAAGTCAAAGGGGAAGGCAGATTCACTTAAAGACCGGGTTACTAACTTAACAATTGAAGTGTTTCATTTAACAGCTATCTTGCTTAGCGACATAAATTTTGGGCT